GCTTCGAATATTGTGTGTACTTTTTGTTTTATACAGTTGTCAGCCAGGCATCTAACTATGAAAAAATTACACTCCAAAAGACCCCGGGCTTCTGACAAAACAACCCGGGCTTAAGCCCAGTAAGCCACCCCCACGCTCCGCCCCTGATGCAAACCCCTGATAAAACTCAAGAATAGAGAGGCTCGATTGCAATTTCTTAAAAAAAAAAAAAAAAACATCTAAAAATGTCAGCACAGTTCTAGGAAAAATATTCTTTGGACAGATGAAACCATAATCAGCCTCTACCAGAATGATGGCAAAGTGTGGAACAGATCATGATCCAAAGCATACCACATTATCTGTAAAACACGGTGGAGGCAGTCTGATTTCCCGGGCGTGCATGGCTGCCAGTGGTACTGAGACACTAGTGTTTATTGATGATGTAACACAGGACAGAAGCAACCTAATGAATTCTGAGGTGTTCCGAGACGTACTGTCCTCTCATATCCAGTTAATGCAGTCAAATTGATTGGCCAGTGTTTCATTATACAGACAATAATGACCCAAAACATACAGGCAAAGCAACCCAGGAGTTTATTAAAGCAAAGAAGTGGAATATTCTTGAATTGCCAAGTCAGTCACCTGATCTTAAACCACTTGATTACAACAGTTACTACAGTTTAATACAATGAACTGGCACTGGTGTAACACCACATACAAAATTTTAATCAGCTTTTGCTTTAATACTGTAAAGTTAACATTAATATTAATATATAAATACTACTGTTTAATGCTGAAATGAGAAATGTATGTATCTGAAGAAGCATGCAGTGAAGCAACTTGAAGGGTTTGTGGCTGTGCCCTTTAAATCATGCACCCTCACACTCAGTTAAGGTTTTTTGTTTGTTTGTTTTTTTAAACTTGAATATGTGCATCGGGATCTTATGGCAGGAAAGCTTAATCCACATTTTTAAGCTAAACTATATATGCAATAAACATGAAAGGTTGTATTTTGTTTATGTTATTTAATTCATGTCAGTAGGACACCAACCCAAAATGCAAAATGTTAAATTCAATTCAATCCAGTCCAGTTTTATCTATAAAGCATCAAAGCACAACAGTTGCCTCTCGTTATTATTATTGATAACGAGGGGCTGCGGTTTAGGGAATGCCTCATTGGGATAGACGGGTGGAAACTAGACAAAGAGCAGAGAGAGGGTGAAACAAGAATAAATGTGTGTGTGGTGCAAGTAGGTATTTATAGACATATGACCGGAAGAGGAGTGTTTTGGGTGGAGTCTAGCTCCTGAAATTCAAAAAAAATAGCTCGAATTATGTGCACTAATTAAATTTCCCTGGCAGTGTGACTTCTTCCAGGTGTATAAGTGATGAGTGAGTTTTTTTCTGTCATTTACATTCATGCTACTGTGTGTGTGTGTGTGTGTGTGTGTGTGTGTGTGTGTGTGTGTGGTAAATGGAAAGTCAAGAGCTCAATAAATCAAAATCTAAGTGTGATGCTAAAGGAGGTTAAATCTAAAGTGAATACAGGTATTGTGGTATGAGGTGGTAAAGATCTTCTAGCTCCAAGAGTGTGTTGATTCCATCAGCAGCAACAAAGACGGGTACTATGGATGTTTTGACAAGACCACAGTTTAATATTAATTGAGAGTTAATTTGTCTGGGATTGAACCACTTTTCAGTCACAACTGGTGCAATCCCTATACATCTGGATGACAAGCAGGACTGGTCCTTGAACTGGTCTTCCTTAGATGTAACCCAAGAGGTTTTGTTGAAATTAATTGATCTCTATGTCGCCTCATTTTTTTTTCTGTCTTTGTGTTTGCAGTTTAAGATATTAATTTTCTTTTCACATTTTCCTGCCTCAACGTTTTGAGTTTAAGTTGTGTTTATAAAAGATTCGTTGTTTCATCATTGAGAATACAATACAACAGGCTTTTTAAATATTCATTAATTCAGTGTTTTCACAACAGAGTTGATTATAATCTCGTGGGGGAACCAGACAGGCAAATATCTATTAAAGTATGTTTTAAACCACATCAGGAGGCTATCTCAGAATCCATTTGTGTATGTGCTAAAACATTCCACATTTAGCATCAGCAATACATTAGTGGTCGCTTATTAATCAGAAGATGCCGTGGCCTATTTGATGAATTATTTATATCATCAGCACTCAACAAAAGCTCCTTTGATTTCACCCTACGAAAAATATTCACTCATTGGCACTTGTTGTGTGTGTTTGTGTAAATGTGTGTGTGCTTATAGTTCAGTTAAGTGATGTGATCTAAAACCAAACCACTGACCTTTCAGGCCGGTGCTCTCTGATGTCGATTTTTGGGATCAGTCCAGGTTGGACCTATTTTGGGATGAAATCGATGGCAGAGGTAGCCTTGGCTTTAGAGATGTATGAGCCCTATTTCGGGGCTTTCTGATACCAGTATCTGGTGTTTTACTGGCGGTTTGTGTTGGATATTTTAAGTGGCAAGTGGCGTCAGTGTACGGTAAGAAAAGATAAGGAGGAAGTGAGTATTTCACTCTGTTCATCTCTGGTTTCTTTGCTCATTTTCATGTTTCTTAGAAGCCCTTTAGATCAATTTAATAAATTACTCAGAATTTATGATTCGTATCATCAATTTCCCAAAGCTGGTACATTTAGAAAATGCTTTCAGTTAAACAGGACCTACTGTGCTTCTTCTTGTTTTATCTAATATGGCCAAAGTTTCAAATAAGTTCAGCATATGTGCAATTAATTCCTCTGAAAGGAAAGCTCAGGGTTTAGACTTTAGCTTTGACACTTTTTTCTACTCTTGGACTTCTATAATATCAGCCCACCTTCTGTTTGCAAGGGGCAGCCAATCAGAAGGCAATCAACTAAAAGTGAAAGGAGCTTTAATGCTGTTTGTTTCAGATCACTGATGAGCTGAGGGGCTAAGGCACAGTAAAAGATAAAAAGATTTCTTTGAACTGTGAATCAATAAAATCAAAATAGCAGGCAGTAGTGGACTGGCAAGTGGAAGCACCAAAACATTTCCTGGTGGCCTAAAGGTCATTTTAGCCTGCCGTGAATTTGAGCAGCAATATTATAAAAGTGCGAATGAGTTGAGGGAACTATCAGACCACAGCAGATCTGTCTCTAGCGTCCTCCTCTGCCATATCTTCCCTTTGCGGATCCTCCATCATTACATCCATGAGATTTCTCTGTGGTCTTCAACTTCTCCTCCCTGGCAGCTCCATCTTTAACATCCTGCCTCCTCTGCACATATCCAAACTGCTCAACCTGAGCTGTTCCTCTGATGTACTTATTTCTCATCTTGTCCATCCTGCTCACCTCCAGCATCATCAATCAGCCCCGTATGTGCTTAATGTAAGAGCTGTCATTTTTAATTATTATTTTCTTATTTTAATGGCTTCATCCTCCAGGATCTGAAAAACAAATGATGTGAGATGAATGTCACTTTCAGTTAATGCTGTTTATTTAGAGCAATATGCTTAAGAAGCTGCATCTTATGATCTTAGGAGTTAATACAATCCACTAATGGTAGACTCTGTTATCTATGATTTATCGCTGGATTTTATTGTTAAAGTTTCAAATTGAATGAGTAGGAAATTATAGAAGGTCTGCATGGACATAACTGTGAATGGAGAGAAAAACAATTTCTTAGTCTATGGAATTACATCCTCATATTACATCATGCACTTTGTGCATGTTGTCTCTTTAGTCTCCACTAGAGGGAGGCAGACAGTAAAATGAGCTTTGAACAAGTGTCACAGGGCCTGAGGGAGCCTTGTCTCACTGTTTTTCTTTATTACATGAGAATGAGTGTGTGACAGGACTCCACTGAGGCATTAAATCTGTGCTGCAGATCCCAAGAGAGACGGGGGAACAATTAGAAAGTGGATCACGGAGATGACTGGGAAAATGAGATTCAGGACACCTGTTGACCTTTGTCACCACCCTCTCTGTGTCCTTAAAGGCAAATTATTTTTCCGCTTGTCACATTTAGCAGAAATCATTCTAATCTTTGTCAGCCATGCCTATTTAAAGCCGTCCTGCACTGATTTGATGTATTTTCTGGTCTCGTGTTGAGGTTGTTTTGATGGAAATGGGAGAAATGCAACTTTCTCTGCTTCCTCAGGAGTTCAGAGGTTAATTAGCAGAGAATAAGGTGTGATATGGAGGGAGGCTATAGAGGAGGAAGCTGCACAGCATCAGTCATTTGTTCTGTGGTGGATTTTCCTGATGCACCTCCTTGTGAATTTTGGATAGTTTTTTTTATTGTTATCACTGACGGCAGGAATAATATTTACTGGAGAAATCCCAAGCCAGCTTCAGCTTTTTGCCAAAAACCTAATCTATGTGGTGTGAGAATATTTGAGCTTCCTCTTTGTGTGATTGGATTTCCTGTGGATTAACGTGGTGATCCAGATTTTTTGGGGGGATTTTTTACTCTCATCTGAAGCATTTGACGTTCATGAGGGAGTTGGACCATCACACCCTGCTTTTAATTGTGGAAAAAATCCTGTAACATTCATTGGAGCACAACAGATCACCGGGGTAAAAAAAAAAAAAAAACAGGCAGTCAATTAAAAAGGCAGAGGGGGAGAGCTAAATAAAGAATCATCAAGAAAAAAATGTGACATAAAAAGAGTGATGAGTGACTGACACTGTTTCAGAGACAGGAAAAGGCAGTGGAGAAGAGTGAGACTGTGAGAGGCAGATGGATTAAAACAGGTGTCTATAGAGAGTCCAGTGATGTTGAAATAGAGGCAAGGAAAATAACAAGAGAAGACGAGATAGAAGAAGAGGGGAAGATGAGTGTAAGATGGGAGACGGAGGGACTCCAGACAGTTGGCATCGTCTGCCTGGTGATCATGTTCCTCAAACTGATGCACCTGCTGGGCCTGATCGACATCACTGAGACCGGTGAGATGCCACAGGAGGGGGGAAGTGAGGAGGAGGAAAGACACGGAGCAATTTGTGAATGTTGTGAATGTGTTTGACCCAATTTGGATACGTGTAGATTATCAAGAGAGAAGAAGACATAGCTGTAAGAGGCATGAGACAGCCACAGATGGTGTAAACAATAAAGACTTTTTTTGGCTTGGTTTTACACAGGCATCATTTTAAAGCTTGTTAACTGAATAATTGATGTGAGTTGACAGTCAGTCCCTATCAACCTCTGGTAATAATTGCTCACATGTATATTCTTTTAACCCAAAGCTTTAAATATGTAAATCTTTTAAAAATGGCAATTATAGAAATACACAGTGTATTACTGATTCCTGAAATACTCATTTCAAACAGGAGTAAATAGTTTGATTTCAGTTTGGCATGAATACATATTTGGTGGTCTGGTGAGTATTTGCAGCACTGGGGCAGTAAAGGGGGAATTAACTATCATGGTAATACCAGTGCAGCAGTTTGGCTCGTGTTTTAGTGACAGTTAGTGACATTAAAATTGACACATGTTTAAAAAAACAACCATACTTTCCCAGTACCTCAGAGTGTGTATAGTACAGTAGCTACACAAATCACTTCTGTTAGAGCAATGATTCCCCAGTACCAGTACCAGTTCCCCCAGGGTACTTCTCCAGCCAGGAGAGTACGTGAAAGATCAGCTATTACTTAGGCCAGTTAAAGACTTTAGTGGACATTAACATGTTTAAGCACCCTCGAAAACATGATTCTTCACCCTCAATGAAGCAATAATTTTGAGTTAAATACAGGTGATATATATAATTAAAAGGTTTATTTATTCAGATAATAAATCATTAAGGAAAATGTGCTTATAAATTGAATCTTTGCCAATCAAGTCAATTTTATTTCACCAGATTCCATTAAATTTGACATTTTATCTTTTATTTATGTTACAAACTATACATGGAACATTCACATGTACCGGTAATTAAATTAGAGGTAGAAGTAAAGCATTTTGGGCACAGGCTATTTGACTGCATAAAACCTCTCTAAAAGAAATAAATGAGGAGTAAAACAAAGAAGAAAAACTGATTTACTTTTATCCAAAGAGAAATCAACGATTAAGATAGTTTTCTAAAATTATGCCTAACACTTTACATTATTACATAATGCATTGCAAATCCCAGCAAAGTGAAGTCTGCCATTTTCATTCTTAATGTATTATAATAGTTTTCAGTGTATTTTGTAGATTGTGTTCTGTGTGTCTGAATTTTCTGAAGTTTTGAGCCCTGGGTTCAACATTTCCATGGTAACAGATGCCTCCGCCAATCAGACGCCACTGTTTCAATTTAGGATTGTGGGTAGAGTAAAAAAAGCCTTTTCCTTACAACGAAAAGGTTGATATACAGACCTGTGCTTTCTGTAGGAATACTTACCATCATCCCATGTTTTAGATTGTAGTAAGGCGTAACTCTGAATGTTTATGGCTCATAATGAATCAGGTTTTTATTTCCACAAACTAAATGCTGACCTGCAGAACTCTCGTCACCGATAGTTTTTCTTGGTTATTCTGTATTATTCTGTATCTTGCAGGAGATACAGAATAATCATGCTCTGATGGGATCATATGAGCGTTATTTTCTTTAATAGAATTTGAAATTATTAAAAATGTGCAGGTTAGATTCATTTTAGATTAGAATCTTTAGCAGGCAAATTAAACTTTTTTGCAGAAATGTTGCAAAAATGCATTGAACAGTCTGAAAATTTAGAGGGAAAAAGGAAAATGTGTGGACTTTTGAGAAAGTATTTCATCCTACCGGATGCCTTTTCTGATATAACTGGGTTACAAGAGCATGACCGTCTTTGACAGCTGCACCCATACAGACAAGGTCAGAAGCCATCTTCTTCTCACATTGTGCAAGAATAAATGAACTGTAAAGAAATGTTGAAGAGCGGATCACATTCCAGTTTTAATCCCCTTCTCTGTGGTTTGGGTTTATGTTTCACAGCGTATCATATTTCCCCGCTCTGCTGGGTGTTTTATCCGAATATGACATGAGTCCTCTCCTTTGGACCCAGCGTGTAAACCACACAGCGTCCGATCTGACTTGACATGTTTTCTTTTTGTTTTTTGTTTTTTTCTTCCTCTTACTGTCACTCTCCCACTGTTCTCCATTTACGCTCTTTCACTCCATCTCGGTGTCGACACCCGTCCACCTCCTCCACCTCTGTTCTTTCTGTCTAAAGATGGTGAGTATGTAACAGCACGAGTCCAACCAAACGGAGAAAACTTCCCTCTTTTTTTAAAAGTGTTTTCTTTTTGCCCGGCTGTGCAGTGCTTTCTCTTAGTGTGCAATGGTAACCAATGTCACGACACTTCATTTGAGTGAGAAAGTGTCTTAGGTTTTCTGTGGTGGCTTTTGTTTTGAAAGTCGCTCCATATAAAGTCAGCCAGATTTGAAACATTTCCCACACGTCTACCTTCAGGATAGGCTGATTTTTGTTCTATAATAACTTTTTTATGTTTAATGAAGGCATGCAAACTTGTACTTTTATACTATAAATATACTTTCCAAGTTACAGGCCCTTGAAGTACATAGAGATTGGCTGGAATTCAGTGCTTTTTAATGGCCTTTCATTTTTAAATGCTTGAACCTGATTAAAACTGATTTGGTTGTAGTTTTTAACTATGTTTAAACAAGGCAATATTTAAAAAAAGTGATAAATTTCAACCTTCCTTTTATATATTTCAAGGGCCTGTAGCTCAGAAACTACTCATACATTATTGACCAACAATATCAGCTGATTCTGATGGGGCCATGTGGGATGCATTGATTGAATTCTCATAAAATGACCCTCCAAGTTTGGTGACATGTCCACCATAAAGAAAGTACCTCCTCCTCTTATTTTACTCCCTTGTTCGCCTGCCTTTTCCTCCTCCACAATTTTTTGATAATTCTCTCTTTTGAACTTCGAACATTTTCCTCTTATGCCTCCTCCTGTTGAATGTGTGAACCCACCCACACCCCATCTCCGAATGTTGACCTGCATCCTCTCACTCAATGTCTGCCCCATCCTCCCTCTTTTTTCTCTCCATCCTTCCCTCCCTTCATCACTTCTCTCTCCTTCTCCACTTCTTTACTTTTCCTCCTTTCTGTCTGTCTATCCATCCCTTTCTCTCTGTCTCTCTTCCTCCCACAGACAGCAGTGACAGTGATTTGGAGCTGTCGACTGTGCGTCACCAGCCAGAGGGGCTGGACCAGCTGCAGGCTCAGACCAAGTTCACCAGGAAGGAGCTTCAGTCTCTGTATCGAGGCTTCAAGAACGTGCGTCTAGCTGCTGCTTCTGCTGAGACCAGCCTAATTGCTTTGCTATTATTACTATGCTTTATATAGAGCTGAATTATTATTCTAACATGTATATCTCCTTTTTCCTCCTCTCTTGAGCAGGAGTGTCCCAGCGGACTGGTTGATGAGGAGACATTCAAGTCCATCTATTCTCAGTTCTTTCCCCAAGGAGGTTAGACATTAAAACAATCTCCTCTTTTTCTGTCCTTTTTAGTGAGGGACTGAGGGTCATATTTTTCCACACCTGATTTATATTTCATAACTTTGACCTCCTAAGACCCAAACTCTTTCATGGCATGCATTTTTAATTTCTCTTTGCTATTTGGGCTGATTGGGACCTGATGAATGTAAAAACAAAATTATCTGATTTCTTTTTTTTTTTTTTTGAGAAAAATGAGACCCACATATGAGGACATTCGTTTTAAATTTTGATAGAGCAGTGGCAGTATAATGTCCTCCTAAGTGGATATCAGGCCCTTGTAGAGAAAAATTTAGTATTTTGGTCTAGACCAGCGGTCCCCAACCCCCAGGCTTCAGACCAGTACCGGTCCGTGAGTCGTTTGGTACCGGGCCGCGAGAGTTGAGGCTCAGGTCTGAAATGTATGTGTTTCAGGGTTTTTATCGGTTTTCAGCGTTATTTTGTTATGGTTTTTATCGTTAACTCAGTTTTCCTGGGTCTTTTCACGTGTGTTATGAATAAATCTTCTTTTTTTGGTACCAGTACTAGTTTTATTTTGTTGTATTTATCTGCGACACCTTAAAGGCCGGTCTGTGAAAATATTGTCGGGCATAAACCGGTCCATGGCGCAAAAAAGGTTGGAGACCGCTGGTCTAGACGACCCAAAATGTGATGTCCACATGTGTGGACGCCAGGTCCTAGGAGGTTAAACAAGATTTAAACAAGATGCACACCCAATTATTTTGTTCCTGAAGCAGGCCTGAAATATGCCTCCATTCAGGAAAGAGAAACAAGGGTTACCCCAGTAGGTGTCAAAGGGGGAATGAGTTAAAAGCATTTAGTATGAGAAGTAAAAGTATGTGGCTACAAGAGCCACATGCTGCAATATTCAGTTAAAATTCAGTTTATCATGCTTTAATGCTGCACTATTAAAATAATTTAATAGCATTAAAAAATACACAGTGTGTCAGAATTAATCTGAAACTGAAAAGTCCAGTATGACAAAGTCTGAAAGAATACCCAGACTGCCACCTTCAGATGAGAGGAAGCTGCTTTGGATGCTCAGGAGCAACCCAGGAGCCATCAATGCTCAAGCCTGCTATGAACTGGAAACCAGTGAAACACCAGCTTTATTGGCTGAATATCATCGTCATCATCATTTATTTATTTATATAGCACTTTAAAAACACACCTGGTAGACCAAAGTGCTGTACAATACTAATATGCACATAGTAATAAAACCAGACATAGCAATAAA